TATATATATACAGGAGACTGCCCCATTGATTATGCCCAGAGCAGGCTGTCAACAGTGAAGGCTATAAAGAGTTAACCCACACTTGGTTTGTTTTAAAAAGTGAGTCAGGTTGAAGCCCATGTGAGTCACAACAGCACTGTAGATGACCCACAGATTAGCATCCTCCCCCACACACACACCAATGGCCACAGCAGAGACCAGAGATACGGTCTGTGAAGCTGGGAGCTCTGATATAAGACAACATGGCAGCCAGAGACAAGTGACTCTTCCCAAATTCCTTCCCAGAACCATAGTTTATTCTACTTGAAAAATGAGTTATTCATTAACCATGATCTATTCCTGGTCTCTTCTGTTCTTGATACAAGGATGTTTTGTTCCCTCCTTTATAAGTCCTGCCTGTGGCAGGGTCTTATTCCCAGCAACCACATGTGGCCTCTCACCCCATTCTATAGATTGTACAATCACTACATGCCATGCAACTGGCTGGCTTGGGGTCTTTGCTGGCTCAGCACTGCCCATCCCAGCTCCTGGTTTTATTTTTATCTTGTCTCTGAGTTTTTCCTTGCATCCTTGCATCACAGCACCAAACAGGAGAGGTCTTTACCAGGGTCTCGATGCTTGTAGCACAAAATTTTCATCAGAGATATTTTATCTGTAGTTGGCAGTTTATAAAATTTCCAGTTGAAAAAGAATCACATACCCAAGAATCACATACCCAAAACATGCTAAGAAGTTTTCCAGTAAAATATTTATGTCCTTCAATATTCACAGAGTACAAGCACACAGTAGGCCTTCAGTTTTGAAGGTGCATATAGTAAGTGTGAAAACATCATATCTTGCAGGCTGGGCATGGACCCCCTTTCTGTCCTACTGTATGTGTGAGGGATATGCTTTGCTGACACTATATATCTGTGAGGTTTTGCTGTATAAGAGGAATCTATTTGTTTCCTCCACATCAAGAAAACCAATTATATTCAAGTGTGTAGGGTAAAAAGGACTAGGCTAAAAAAGCATAATTGAAGCCAGCACTCAGGAGGCTGAGGCAAGAGGATTACTGAGAGTTCAAGTCTACGTAGTGAGTTCAAGGCCAGCCTGAAACTGCATAGTGAGACCCCCACTTCAAAAAATCCAAAAACAAAAAACAAAAAAGTATAATTGAATAAGAATTTTTAAGAGATGTGCTTTAATGAGTAAGGAAGAATAATTAAGAATGATTACATCAATTGTATGCAAACAGGGGCTCTTAGAGCAGGGAAGCTGGGTAGGAGCAAGATAGGGCCCATTCTCCTTGGATTTCTTAATCAGCTAGTAGTTGTGCGGTCCCAGTCAGCCTTTGTGAACGCTACAGACAACAGATCTATTTGAAAATATTTTATTGAGGCTCAGCTGAATTTGCCCCACCCCCACACCTCTGTGAGTTGTTAGGGACACAGTAAGCATTAGAATGAAGAAGGGAACTTGCTACGGTTTGAACGTCTCTCTCTCACCCCAAAGTTCATGTGTTAGAAACTTTATCCCCAAATCCATACATCCCTACTATTTGGAGGTGGGGCCTTTGGGAGGTGATTAGGATTAGGTGAGATTATGAGGACGGGGCCCCTGTGTCTGTATTAGTGGCTTTATAAGAAGAGGAAGACTCAAGCTAGCATTAATGCACCATCTTACCATGTGATGCCCTCCACCATGTTATGACTCAGCATGCTGACCCTCATCTACACCATACACTGGGACTCCCCCGCCTCCATGACCGTGAGTCAAATACATTTCAATTCTTTATGCATTTTCTGGTCTCCAGGATCTTGTTACAGGAACCAAAAACTGACTAAGACAGAACATCTGGGAAAAGGAAACCATCTGATTAGAGTATGGAAAAGCAGGCATGGAGACACAGGCATCTCCTCTAGACTGGCAGGTCCATGCTCACAGACAATCTCACTAGTCCTGACACCCTTCTCCCGCATGAGGAACCAGGGGCTCAGAAAGGTTCAGCAACTTACCCAGGTTGCCCAGGGTAAGGGACAGAACTGGAGCTCATTGTCCTTCACCAGCCAAGAAACCTGTATTAGCAAGCCTGGTTGTTATCCTGCTCCTTGCCTTTCTTCCTTGCTCACCTTTATATCCCCCATAGTGCTTTGTTCTGCCAGCCTACTTCCTCTAGCCTCATATAAAGACTCGTGAACACTAATTACACAAATAGGAGGTCTCAGGTGTGCTTGCAACCAAGTCCCCAGGTGTATGGGGAAGGGGTACTCTGGAGCCCTTGGGACATCAGAAGGCTTCCTGAGAAGACACTGGCTCTGTCTTAGTTACTTTTCTCATGGCTGAGACAAAGTACCCGACATCCAAGGTTAAAGGAGGAAAGGTTTATTAACTCACAGTTTGTAGAGGTTTCAGACCATAATAGGCTGGCTCCAAGGCAGGGTGCCACATGGCAGAGGGCAACCATTCATGAAGGTAGGAGACAGCAAAAGCAACAAGGAAAAGGAAGAGGCAATTCTCTGCCTATCCCTTATATTGTATGCAGGCTACCCACCCTAGTATAGCCCTCACTCCCTTAATCCCAGCATTGGAGCATGAATCCATCAGAAACTCTAGATTCAGCCACCTCTGAAAAGCCCACTTCCCAAGAATTCATGAGGCTTTGGGGAGGACATCCAGACACAAACCATAACAAGCTCCTAGAAGACATATTTTCTTCTGGAAGAGTGTGGGACTTGGGGCATCCAGGCCCTGCCCCACAACTTGCAGCGGGGTGAACTGCAGTGTCACTTGTCCTAATACGGAGTCAGCAAAGCCCTACCCACATAGGGGCTGCTAGGTGAACTCTAGATCCTGCAGACATTCAGTTTTCCTGACCTCCTCCTCCCCCACTAAAATGAAAAGTGCACATGCATCTGTGCTTTATACACAAGACAATCAGATTTTGTCAGCCCCAAACCAGTGTTCACGTTGAGACCTGCATCATCTCGTATCAGCTTCCTACCACAGCCGCGGAAGGAAAGTTCCAGACAGGCCTGTTGCCAACATGAAGCACCAGTCACCTCCTTCTCATGCTCAGGGCCATGTGGGCAGCTGAGAAGCCTGCAGAGCCATGCTGAATGTGACCACCGCACCTCTCTTAGCATCGTAGAACCTTCCCTTGCTGACTCCGGATCTGCTTTCCAGGCCCTGTGTTCCTCTGGGTTTGTCCCATCAGCAGTCACCTCCCTGGCACCCAGGAAGTTTGGGGCATGAACAGATGTCTACTCCCCTACCTGGTGTAGTCCTCAGTTCTGTGGGAGAGAGGACAGTAATTACCTTTTAGTTTTTTGGTATTGATGAACACAACGTCAGCTGCCACACAAGCACGTACAGTTTTAAAATTAGGTATCAAGACAATGTTACTGAATCATAAAAGTACATTTCCTCAAACCTCATGCTAGAAAAACAGCTTTTGTAAAGGATGAATTCATCCATTCATTCAATAGATATTTATTGAGCACCTGCTATGTGCCGGGCTCATCACCTTGAAATGCAGTGGGGAACGGAGCGCTTGGTATTCTCCGAGCTTCCCTTCCAGTGAGGGAGATGACAAGTAAGCACGTGGAGAGACGTGTCCCAATGGGAACTCACCAGCAAAAGGTCTAGCGGGGAAGGAGGGCCACCTTTGGCACTTAAGCAGGCAGGTAAGTGCAGGGGAGACGAGGCAGGTCATTCTGAAAGAGGGGACAGAAGGCAAAAAGGCCCTGGGGCAAGAGAGGGCTTGGTGTTTTGAGTCTGCAGAGGTGGCTGTTCTGAGAGACGCACAGGAAATTGGCAGGAGTGATGTCGGAGAAGTCTGTAGGGGTTTGCAGGGCCCGGGAGCATTTTGAGTCTCTTCGCAAGGCATCAGGAACAACTGGCCGGCCGGGGAGTGACTGGGTTGGCCACGCAGCTCCCAGTTATGGGAGTTACGGAGGGTGAGTTGAAGGAGGTCAGGTGACAGAGGGTCTGAGGAGCAGGGAGGGAGCCTGCACTACGGAAGGCAGCTTAGAAGCCTGCCAAGGCCACAGGAGGCCTCTGGGCTGCAGTCCGTGCTGTGAAGAGTCACGGAAGGTATCGGCCTTGTCAAAAGTATCTGCAGGACAGATAAGTAGATATAACACAGAAGCTTTCAACTTGCCAAAACGCCCAAAGCTGGTGCACACAGACAGAAAGCAGGGTAGCAACAGCGATGTCGAGGTTAAAGATTTACAGGACACTTACTGCACACAGGTCCTGAGCTAAAGACTTTATGTCGTCCGGTTAAACTTTACCTCAGCTGTCTAGGGTGTGCACTAATGGGACCCCCAAGGAGAAGGTCCGGCTAGTAGGGAACAGACCCTGGACTTGAACCCAGGCCTGTGTGACACCTCACTATGGTCTGACCGGTCAGCTGTCCCCCTTTCACATGAAGATGACCTCTCGGGTCACTTCCAGGCTTAGGCTTTGGAGGCCTTGTGTCTTTCCCACGTAATCAGGGTGGGAAAGTTTCCTAGCCCTAAGGAGAGGCCATTGAACACCCCTAAGAGAAGGAACTGTGTTCTTACCCTGGCTCCCACTGACCAGCACAGACCCTGGCTCTGGGTAAGTCCTCAGTGGCATCCTTTCAATGCGGGGATGAACTGAAGGAAGGCGTCCAGGCCATTCACTCTTTGCTTCTTTGCAAACAATTACTCAGGAAAAGAATTAGCCGGCGACTTGCCTGGACTTTTGCAGGGGCTGAGTGGACAATTTTCACCCTTGTATTTCTACCTGGATTGGATACACACTTAACAAATGCATCCTGCGCATAAATTACTACTGAGTCGAGGTGTTCGCTGGTATTCAAATGACAGCAAGCCAAGCTGGGAAACAACAGCAGTCACACTCACTGAAAATATTTGACTCAAGAATCCTAGCTCGAAGGCTTCCCGCCTTGGTGAGCTTGACCTGCTAACATGCAGCTGCTTGAGCCGCAAAGCATCGGGCTAGTCAGACTTCTCCCATTAGCTTGTGAGGACTAAGTGAGAAGCATATGTAAAGTGACTCAACATAAGTTCTACGCAGCTCGATGATGACTGTATCACAGCTGTTCCTGTTATGACACGACGGTTATCCCTCGGTAGAAAGGGCTCCTTTTGTCGTTTTGATCTGGCTCCTTTTGTTTCTCCTTCCTCTTTTTATTTCTTATTCCCTCGAATAGAAAAAGAAGAAAGGAAAGGAATGTTGGGCCATGGGACTTGAGGTTATTTAGATTGTGGAAAGCCTTATAAAGTAGGAACTACTATTTTAGAAAATACCCTTTCACGTTTAACTTATTGGAATAGAGCGTGCTTCACTTAACAAAGACATTTCAGAAATACCATAAGACACGTGATAGCTTTAATCAGTATCACCAAAGCAATGCTAACCAACTACCAAAGCAGGGGATTCTAAAGGTTGAAGAGCGGGATTTGTCAGATGCCATGGGATTGCCTGTTGGGTACAGGTGCTGGATTAAACACTACTCTGTGAGTGTAAATCAAACTGTTCTGCGTCCAGAGCAAATAACACGGCTTCTCCTCCTTCAGACTGCATCAGATCGCTGCCACTGTTTTCTGGGCTGTTCGCTCTTCCCTTGGTGAAGAGGTGCACCCAGGAATGCGTGAGCATGGAAAATGAGCCCATGTGCAGTGTGTCCGCTGGTGTCTTAGTCACTGTCCTCTGCAGTATTGATAGGCAGTTAGCGACTTTGCCATTTCAAAAGTGTGTATGCACGCACGATGGATCACTACTCAGCTACAAGGAAGAATAAAGTAGAGTTGTCTGTAGGAAAATGGATGCACCTTGAGACCATAATGCTAAGTGAAATAAATCAGACACAGAAGGTTAAATATTGCATGGGTTTCCCTTGCATGAGAAACTCAAGTTAAGTAATGTAAAGAACAAACTGAAAAATTATGGAAAACAGGGAGGTAGACCTTCTGCAGATCCTCATGTTTCATATGAACAAACAGGTGAAGTAACAGCTCAGAAGAAGTAGAATCAGACTTAAGCCCAAAGAGACTGGCTGCAAAATCTGTGTTCTGCCTGCTACTTTGGACAGTGGCCTGCTGGCTTCTGAAATCCTCCATGATACTCCCACCACCTTGCCAGCCTCCCCACTCCCTTCGCTCTGAGGACAATGGCTTGCTCTCATTTCCTTGCACCTTTCCTGCTCCTTCTAGCACAGGGCCTTTGCATGTGCTCTGCCCTCTGCTAAGCACACTCTTCCTCTCCTAGTGAAGGCAAAACCTCCTCACTTTTCAGGCCGCAGGTCAGAAAAGCAGTTCACAATCTCCCTGAATCTTGGGAGCACTGAGAACCTCCCCTGGGTGTCACATGCTTTAGTTCTACCTCCTATTGGTCTGGGTGATTATTTTATAATGCCTAGCACCTTTTTCCCACTTCCTCCCAGCTGGGTGCAAACCCCAAGACTGGGCGGTTTGCTCTCCACTGTCCCTCAGGGCCTGTCACAAGTAAGGTCATTTGCAGAATAAGAAATGGGTGGAGACGTTGGGGAATCCGTGACCGCTGTGATCAGGCTTAACAGCAGCTCCTACAGAACAGCCACCATGGAGTAGGAACACATGTCTTCTCAATTGTCACCTGCCACCATTGCCACCTAACGCACAGAGTCGGAAACGAAAGGGCTGCGGTGCACAGCCTGGTCTTGTACCAGACAGACCTTGAACTTGCAACCTGTCAAACTGTGCATTCCCGATGATCCTTTTCTCCATCAAACTTTAGTGTTTTTGCGAGCAAAATTTATCTTACTGCAGAGCTTTACACTTAATGGAGGGTACTTTTTTGTTGAACCCTGAAAAGCAGTTATGAGGTCAATGGTAAGCCCTGCAATCGATGGCATTTTGAAATTGAGGAAATCCATTTGTGGCCTTGGGTAAATTCTTTGCCTTGCTGAATCCTAATTTCCTTATCTATAAAAGGACAGGGGCGTTGTAAATGCTGGAGATGGAGATACGGCTTAGCGCCATGGCTGGTAGCTGTCAGTCCTCAGCACAAACTCTATCATGAGTTTCATAAAATAGGTGTCGGATTAGTGTTTTGCTCGAATAATCCATGGACTGGACTTGCATGGGCAGACATCTATTTAGCTATTCACAATTTCAGAGAAGAAATGGCAAAGATGACATTTTATTTAGTGCTACATAAAACCTTCTCCTAACTCTGCTTTTGGAGAAACCCCTTTCCTGGTCCGGGTCCCAGAAAGAGGCCCCGTTCCACTCGGTACTAGGCTGCAGTCTGAAAGCTCACATTTCCTCCTCTTGCATTTCTCTGAAGACTGTCGCAAACATTCTGCACAGGACCTTGCTTCCCCCCACATTAAAGATGATAGGGAATTTGACTCATCTACAGAGCACATTTTTTTTTAAGCTCAGGACAATTGTTCTATTTCTATAACTAATGCTCTTCCCAGTTTATTCTTGGTGAAGATTAGTCAGCGCGCCTAGATTTCAGTAAGAGACTCTCTGCTCAGAACCAGCCATTGGAGTATCACCGCCGTGGCCATCCCCAGGCTGCACTGATGTCACTTGTGTTCTTCACCCGCTGGAGCCATCACCTGGACAATGACAGAAATTAGGGCTCTGGATGATTCTGTGAAAAATTATGCCTTTAACTACCCCCTTTACCATTAGAGACATTACGAGCTCAGTAGACATCGTAACCACATTTAACTTGGCAGAACAATGTGTGCTAAGAATAAACCAGAAAACATATATTTGAATAAAAACAGAAAAAGCGATTGCTAAGGTGGGGAGAGAAGGATAAATGGGACAAATGGTGCCTTTCAAGTAAAGAGTTCTAAACTCCTCTCCAATTCCTAGGGGAGTGAGCCACGGAGGAGAAAGAGAGAGGCAGAGAGGGAGAAAGAGACAGACAGACAGAGAGAGGGAGACAGGGAGACAGACAGAGACAGAGACAGAGAGTACAAGGACAACGTGTGCCGGGGGCAGCTTCTGTGATGTGTGCAAGTCATATTTCCCTCTCCATTAACGATAAGAGTTTCCGCTACTTGCAATGGGACATATTGCTTGTCTTTTGAGAGGTGGCTGAGCCTTTGTTAAAGCAGCAGAAACTATTGAGGGCTAAGGTGAGTAAATGAAGTAGGGTAATGGAACGCATATGTGTGAATGGGAGAAAGGAAGTTTAAGGGAGAAAGGAAAAAAGAAAGGGAAGAGAGAAAGAGAGAGAGAGAGTGAGAGAGAGACTCCCAATTAGCTCTAAAGCCACATAAAAGGTTGTGGCAGGTTGAACGGCGCCTCCCGCCAAAAGATCTACCCGTGTCATAATGTAAGGAGTCTGTGAATGCTGGCTTATTTGGATAAGAGTCCTTGCAGATGCAGTTACGTTAAGGATCCATCCTAATGAGACCATCCTAGTGTCCTGGGGTACCTTAAATCCATGACAAATGTCCTTACAAGAGAAAGACAGAGGGAGATTTGAGTCAGCAAAGAGGAGAAAGTTTTGGGAAGACAAAAGTGCAGAGATGGGGGATGCAGCCACAAGCCAAGGGATGCCTGGAGATTCTGGATCCAGAACCTGGATAAGGCAAGGATGAGTTCTCTCTTAGAGATGCTGGTGGCCACAGCCTGGTCAACACATTGGTTTTAGACTTCTGGCCTCAGAACAAAGAAAATATATTTCTGTTATTTTAAGCTCTCTCATTCATGGTAATTTGTCATGGCAACTCTAGAAAATTAATACACTGGCCTTTCTTTCTTTTCTTCTTTCTATTTTCCTTCCTTCCTTCTTTCCTTAGAAACTTTTTGTTAAGACAACTCCCAAAGAAAAAGAATTTCCAAGCTAATTTGAGTAGTGACAGTATCATATAAATGTCTATTTTTCTCTAACATTTACTTAGAATAATTTCTCACCAATTTGATTAATTAGGGTCCAATTAAGGAAAATGGATAGTACTTCAGGTATTTGTAGAGAAAAAAACTGAAAACTTATGGGGAGCCCTCAAAATGAAGCTGCAGGACATAGCCCCAAAGAAGGAGCATTGGGGGTGGGACCATGGGGCATAAGCTGGGAAAAGATATTCCCTAAGCTTTGCCAGGGCCTTGGGTCCAGGACGCTAATTGTCATCATACACCCTGAGTCTATGATATAGGATCAAACTTCCATCCGGGGTCGGCGCCCAATTTTGAGAAAGCCAAATGGTAATAGGAGTCATAGAGGTTAAAGGGGGTCATGCCCACTTTACTAAACAGTCACACACCTGGAGTTTTGACCCCCAGGTTTTGCTCACTTAGGGCCTTCAGTAATAGTGACAGCGTTCTTCGGGAGCAGGCACCAGGGTTTGTGCCTGGCACTCTCTGCCGGGCCTAGCTAGACCCCTGGTGAGCAGGACTGTGTCCTCCGGTGGGAAGCAACAACACACATGAGCTGGTGGTCTCTCCTCTCCTGTCTCCTAGGCCTTGAGCTCCCCTCTGCACCCCCCGACCTGCCAACTCTGAGCAGAACAGGTCCCCTTCACAGCACATTTGCCGGGCAGTTATTTACCTGCATTCCCAGTGACAGCAGAGCCTTGGGTGATAAATCTTCCTCTCTCCGATACGCCTGAGAAGGCAGCCTCTCCAGCAGATGGAAGAATTAACCCGTAAACCGAAGCCTTTATACCGGACACAGCTTGCAGGCCTATGAGCCGGCCCCAGCCCTCTCCTTTCTTCTCATATTAATAAGGATGTCACAGTAATATATGAAACTCTTTCCGTGGATATTCACATCAGGTTTTCAGATGACCGTCCAAAAATGTATGCAACGTGAGTAGGATGCAGGGCTGTGTTGTGTGTGTGGTGTGTGTGTGTGTAGTTGCACAATCAACTTCCTGTGTCTGCAGTCATCCATTTGGGGGAGGGGCTGTTGTAGATATTCAAAAGTACAGAAAATCCGTACTTTGATCCGTCACAGATTCAAAGGTGGCGTTTTGTGCGCTTTGATTTCCCTCACTTCTACTATGGGGAGGACGGGTAGAGAAAAGGCTAGAACCATAGATGCCAGATGCCGCACATCGGCTTGGGCCCCCTTGGGGCTGCTAGGAAGGGACTGTGCCTCGCAGACACCTCCAGGAAGGACTCACCGTCTGTTTTGCTTGGACAAGGCTGGCACCAGTGTTCCCACATTCTTCTCAGACTCCGATTGCCAGTGCCTGCTGGGACTGCCTCTCCCTGGTACCTCTCGGATTCTGGATTGCAGCTGTCAACTGTATCTTAATCATTTGTTCCTGTTTGTCTTGAAAATGACAAATCCAGGAATCACACCTTTGTTCCTTCTCATTCGGCACGCTGCCCCTTCACGTCTCTCTAACCCCTCCTCCACCTTCGCCTTGGGCCTGGCCTCAGCAAGTCTTGGCTGGCCTCTCGGCAGAGCCTCCTCCGTGTCCCTACGTGAACAAGCTAAGCTCTTCACACACTAACTCCTTACTATGCCTTCAGGGATTCTCTCAAGTCTCCCTCATTTGCACATGTTCTTCTTTCTACCTGGACCCTCCTTTACTCTACCTGGTAAACTCCTGCTTATCCCTCACAACCCCATTTAAATAACACCCCATACTTCCAAGTACAAGAGTCCCTTTCTCCTCCGGTTTGGCCTTTTCTTTGCCAGGACCTTTGTTACGAAGCGCATTTAGCACATGATATGGATCTCCTGTGTTGTATAACATGAGATGCTGTGGTTGATTGTCACACCCCAGTATACCCCGCGGCAGTCGGTGTTCTCTCTCACTATAAGTAATACTGAGCAGACTGCAGAGTCTACTTGCCTTGGATGGATTCCTAAATGTGGTGTCACAGAGGTGAAAGAAAGCCATACGCGTTTGTAACATCACTGAGATGTGTCACAAAATTATTTTACAGAAATGTAATCACTCACACTCCCACCAGCAAGGATGAGGGTTCCCTCCTCTCACCAGGCCCACCAGCTTAAAGATTACTTAGAAAACAAAACATGCTTTACCAATTTGACCATCAAGAAAATTCTTATTCTAAAAATCTGCATCTCTCAATGGTTGATTAACGTTTTCTCACATATTTCATATGAGTTGCACATTTATGTCATTGGCTCAGATTTTTCTTTAGACTGTTTTCTCCTATTTGTTGGTGGAAAATTTCTATATTAAGCATACAAATTCTCTGTCATTTCAAATTTTAACCTTAGGTTTTTTTCAGTTTAACTTTAATATTGTGGAAGGGGTTGAATGCCTAGAACTATTTTTTTCCTCTTCATAACATGTTCCAGGCAGTGGGCTGGTGGTGCATGTGTGTGGTCCTAGAACTCCAGGAGGATGAGGCAGGAGGATCTGAAGTTCAAGCCCAGACTGGACAACTTGGTGACTTAGCAAGACTTTGTCTCAAAATAAATTAAATGAATAAAAAGGGAGGTGTAGCTCTGTGGGAAGGCCCTGGGTTCCTCACTTTCAAAAGTCCTCTTCATTACCCAGTCCTCTCAGTCTTACCCTATAGCATCCTCTCAATTTTGTGGTTTCTTTGGGAGAGAAGAGTTAACTCTTCTGACAACTATTCTGGAAGGAGGTTAGAGGCAGGTCTATACTTATACTCCCTCCCAATAATTAGCTGTTCCAACACCGCTGATTCAATCATTTCTCTTTTACCATTTGTTTTTGTCAAATGACAATCTCTTTCTAAGGTGTTCAAGGAGCGTCTGTTAACTCGCATTGAGTTCATCTGAGTCACTGGATTGAACTGAATTGAACGAGATCATATTGGACAGGATTGTTAATGGTTTTATGGACTGGGCTGCATCCCAGACGTCTTCGCTTGGCAAATTAGCATCCCTTTCTAGATGGGTTAGAGTCCAGCCAGGCAGAGAGGAGCCACACTAAGTGTGTGTCTAAATCGGAAGGGGTGCACTGCGGGTGCTCTCTGCCCAACAGAAGCAAGAGCCAAACCCACAAACACAGGATGCGGAGTCCAAGCCCCCTGTCCCAGCTGTAGCCAGTAGCTGGAGGAGGCGGTGTCTCCGAAAATCATGTTCGGCCCCCCCAGGCCAAGGTGGCCCCTGGCAGGAGGATGCAGCCACTGCCGGGAGCTTTGGGCCAGAGAGGGGCCTCCGCCTTCTCTCCCCTTCAGGACCCCATGGTCCCAGCCAAGGCCAACTGCGCTGCGGCCCAGCGGCCCCACTGCCCCGGGCAGCTCCTCTGGTGCAGGACAGCAGTCTAGAGGGGATGGGTTCAAGGGCAACAGGGCCAACACATCTGCTTCCTTTCTTCTTTTTGTTTTGTAACCTGACAATATTATTTATTTCTAAATGGAGCAACTAAGGAAATGAGATAAGCAACATCAATGAGAGATCCACCCCTATGGAAGGCAAATTCACAGACTTCAGCAGCTCGCCCTAATGGGTCCCCCACTCTAGTGGCTGCAAATCCATAGGGACAGCTAAGTGCTCAGGAATTGCAGGAGGTCATGACGAGTCAAGCATCGCCGCAGTTTCACCCAAGACCTGCGGGAACACCGGCCATTGATTTTGCTTTTCCCTGAACTTTGCTCTGACTTAGTGCTTTGTGGACACAGATGGCGGGAATATTGCAGTGAGAGGAACCCAGGGCTCCTGGCGCACACAGAGCCAGCTGGGTCCTAGCAGGAGCCTCGGCCTGGGCCATTGTCCCACAAACGAGAAGACAGCAGATATGTAGAGAGGTGACCGAGGAGGGCCGGCTGACACTCGGTCCCCCAGCAGGGACGCAGAGGCCATGCAAGGGCGTCAAGAGTTTGGCTTTGGAAACTGGAAATGCCCACTAGGGTGCAGAGCTCCGATGCCTGTTGGCTGTGCACATAGGGGCAGATTACACAACTACCCCATGACTCAGTTTCCCCACTTGGAGAACGGAAAAATTAACAAGACCCGCCTCTGGGGACCAGTGTGAGGGGTCAATGAGATAATACAGAGAAAGTGCTTTATTTTACCATAAACATTCAGGAAATGTTGGCAGCTACCGTTTTCCCTGTTGTACCATTTATTTACACAGAGAACCCATGGCTCGAGAGTTGCTATACTTTCAGCCTGAAATGCTTTGCCTCCCTGTTCCTTCCCCTTCTGTGTGCCCACCCCTCCTTCAAAACTCAAGAGGAGCTTCACACCCCCACCATCAAAGCCTTGTCTGACCACCCCGAGGTCTCTCTCAGCGCCCCAGGGCACTCACTGTGCATGTGTTTAGCATAGCACTCACCACATTGTCTTTGACACTGCTCAGCAGGCCCCGAGCCACCCCAAGACTGGCACTGGGTCTTCTTCATCCGCCTCCTCTGTCCCCAGCCCGGTGACAGGCACATAACCCACACCCAGGCCCACCTGTGGGGTAACGGCATTGGGTAGCGTCTCTCCAAGTTCCCTGGAGACATCCTGCTTCCTGAAGAGCTCCCCCAGCTTCTAAAACTCAGACACTAGAGAGAGCCCTTCCTCTTAGCCCGAGACTCTGATGCCAGCCACATCTCATGCCGTCCCCTCCCCAGCCATCCCGATGTGCGTGGCCGGTGCTCAACACATCTGAAGAACCCGGGTGACTCAGAAGCCAGGTCCTAAGACCTAGGTGTCAGCCAATCAGAGGAGCGGGTGATGAGGAGGAAATAGAAGGGAGCATGGGGCCAGGGCAACCCTCACTGATGGCGGACCAGCTCCTGCCATGCAGGGCACGGTGCAGGGAAAGAGGAAGTTGCTTCTGCATCCCCCACTTTTCCCCAGGGAGAGTTTTCTCCCTGGCACTTCCAGGTCACCCTACTTCCTCTCCTTAGTCAAGTTCAGACTCTGGGCTGTTCCAGGTCTTGAGGACGACGGACAGACCCTGCCCAGGGGCCAAACATGTGCCGCTGGCCTGGTGACTGGGATGAAGTCAGAGCTACCACATGCCAAGCTCTGTGCCTACAATCACTCACACCTCCGGTGATTCTGACAAGCAAGTGTTATCAGTTCCATTTTACAGATGGGAAAAGTAAGGCTCAGATTGATGAATAGCCCTGGTTTCTCCCAAGCACCTTGCCAGTGTTTATAAATTTACTGAGCACTTATTATGTGCCACGCACAGTGTATGGTCTTTAGTTATATCTCTCAGCTAGGCCTTCCAACAGCCTCACGGCACAGAGGAGAAAAGCGAGGCACAGGGGAGTTAACTAGTCCATCCAAGGGACTCAGCCAGCAAGGAACAGAAGCAGGGCTTGAACTCAAATGTGCTGAGCTAGAGCCTTGCCTCTTAACCAGTGCCCTACCTTAGGACAAAAAAGGATACCATGTTAAATTTGAATTTCAGATCAACAATGAATTTTTTTTTGAGACAGGGTCTTGTTCTGTAGTCCAGGCTGGCTTTGAAACCACTGTGCAACCCAGACTGGCCTTGAACTCATGGCAATCTGCCTGCCTCAGCCTCCCAAGTGCCAGGATTACAAGCGTGCACCACCATGCCCTGCTTAACAATCAATTCTTTTTAAGTATAAGTATATCTCAGCATTGCATGAGATATACTTATGCCAAAAAAAGCATTCAAATTTAACTAGACATCCACATTTTCTCTGCTGAATTCAGCCACTCTACCCTATGTGAAAACTTGAATAAAAAGTACTTACCTCTCTGTCCTGTGAAGTTCACGGTGTGGAAAGTTTTCTGGCATTTTTCTTTTTACTATTACCCCGGCTTTGTAGCCAGCTCTGCTTTTTCTGTTTCCCAGTCTGCAGATTTATGTTCTCTCTCGGCCGTTTTTCTCTACCTCCCTCGTCAAAGCTGTAGGCAGGTTATCCACGCTGGGCTAGCGCTCCGTGTTGTGATGTACACTGTATTGAAAGAGAAAAGAGAAGAAATGTCCCGTTGAAATGTTTTTTTAAAATGCGCACTCAGTGGGTACACTAAAAAGAGACGACAGGGTGTTGATAGCAAAGGCTGGAGAGCGCAGCCGTGCTGGGTGACAGCCAGGCGAGACAGCCCTCCCTAACGGATAGTCCAGGCATTGTTTGAGGACACTTACTGCAGCCGATACGGTGGGGGAAAGGCACCAAAGGTGAACAAAATATCATCCTTCCTAGGCAGCAAACACAGGCTGTGACAGAAACAAATTGCTGGAGAAACATC